TGAAGTTGAACTCAAGCAATACATTTCCCCGTTTCAATGACGCTATTCTATAGTTTAAGATCGGAGCTTTGGAGACCCAGAAAAACGAATGTTCAGCCGAGAATAAATGAAATTGAGAGTAAAAATCAGACTCACCATCGTGGAGCTAGGAATTTTGGAGATCACTGAGCAAATCTCAAAATAGAAATATCTTTTATAGCATTCGATACGAATCGGAAATTCGGAGGCAGCAATTAGAGGCTGTGACACTCATCATCTGCAGAGGGAGATGTAAAGCTCAGGAGCCCCGCGGGCTTGATACGGATCATCTGCCTCTTGTCTCAGAGGAGTTATTTTCCACATACTCTCGAGATTTTAGAAATTACCATCGACCGACGCCTTGAGCTAACGGCACAATTATTTGCACTGTATTTCAGAAAAAAAAATCAGTCAACTTTTCTGGCACATGTAGAGATCAACTAATGTCCCCTTTTCCTACGGAATTAGTGTAGCTGCCATAGATAGCATAGATTTTAATTGCTACTTTTCATAAAAGCAAAAGTGTTCTTATTGCGTATTGTATCGCGCATTCGGACGCATTCAGACATAATACGCCCATTGGAAGTGAGAGCTTTGAAAAAAGCATATCGTCAGGGAAACCACCAGACCAACGTTTGCAACGTCGCAGACTTCCTGGCATATTTTATTGTTTACATATAAAACAATTTGACGGTAATTCTTGGGAACTTCCGTGATTTTTCTCCTCTGTGCGAAGGAAACTCAATCAAAACTTTAAGGGATGATACCGATTTGTTTTCCTTTAAAAAAATAAATTGGGAGTAGAGATTTTCAAACGCCGCAGTCAAGACACGTTGTCTGGTAGTTGCACCTACGATATGTAACTGTCTACGGGATAATGTAACGTTTAAAACTAATTTCGAAAACTCAAAGCCTCCCCTCACTTGTTTAAAACTCCCCGTTAAGATTTTACCTCTTTTACAAGGTACGGCATCATGATTCTAAGTTCACATAATATTAAAAGTGAGCCATTGAAACTAGAGCTAGAGGAATGTTTACATACGTTTCGGGAGATAAAACGCCCAAATGTAATATAGTAATTTCTAATTTTGTCGTTTTTCGGTGATACAAGAGACAGCACTTTTTATTAGTCGAGTTAAGACAGAAACCAAACACTCAATTTTGGCATGGAGCGGTGCGGCGCAGAGAGTAATATTGACGAGAACTTGATATGAAAAGGAGAAGCCCTCAGCGCGGCGGTCGGCATGTAACACATATTAGCACCTACGAGACTGCATGAATACTTCACGCATTGCGTCAAACACAGTGCAATCAGCAGCGGCCGTCGTGAAACACATAGCGCCTACAAGATTTCATGAATACTTCACGCATTACGTCAAAAACAGTGCGGTCAGCGTGAAACGCATGGCGCCTACAAGACTGCATGAATACTTCACGCATTGCGTCAAACACAGTGCGGTCAGCGCGGCGCCAGCGGAAGTTAAAACTATTAAACCACATTTATGTTTGTTCGTGCATAATTTTTATGTTCATTTAGTACAAATGGATAAGGCCTTGTTCACACAGAAATAGGTTTGAGGAACTTAACTTTCGCGCAAAGTTCTGTTAACTTTTCCTAGGAGTGTTGACAGGGCTTTCGCAAAAAATATATGTCCAACACGAGTAAACGAGTCTTATGCAGCCCTCCCCTCCGGCACGTTCACTTGATGGTTTTTATTGATGTTTCAAACCGAATGAGGGGGGAGAGGGCGGCAAAATACAGGCGGCCTATGGGCGGCAAGTAGGTAAATCCGGCCCTGATTGTGGAACATTATCATCACAATAAATTAACCTTAATTGTCGCAACAAAAATGTCTCTTCATTAACGTCTTAAGTACTAAGTTACCAAAAACTACCAATAATAAGGGTTTCTCGTCACTACAGTGATTTCAGCTGTCACTGAAAAAAATGGTATGCTGCTATAGCACCTAGGATGTTAAAAATGTGTCTGGCGATCCTAAGATGCTGCTTTGATTGCCTACGCAGTTGAATTTGCATTCATAGGATGTAAAGTTAACTTCGAGGACAGTGAAGGCAGCGTCTTGGGATCACCAGACACATTTTTGACATCCTAGGTGCTAAAACAGCATATTATTTCTTTCAGTAAGTGACACTCCGGACACAAGGAATGTGTAATAAATTCTCTTGAGTCATGGGTAATTGACCATGGGTAATCGTGTGCACTCGAGGTCTGTTGCAGGGTTCGTGGATCTCTAAAGAAAATCCTCGAATATACACCCCCCCCCCCGAAATCTTTGAATGTTCTTGCATATTAGAAAATTACTGAATATATTCGAAAGTTCTTTAATTTTACTTCATCCGGTTATTTTATTTGAGACCATTCGAAGGATGTATTGGATAACACGGTCCGCTTCGTGTCATTAGCATGTTGCGTCTCTCATCAAACAAATAGGCAATAAGTCGTCTGTAGGTCAAAAAATTAAGGGAAAAGACACGAAATCAGTCATTACGGACAATGAACGGCAATAGCGAACTTATTGCCCTCATGTCTTGTTTCTAAATAAGAAACATTCAACACGCTTCATCAGTAACTGAGCGCCTTCGGCAAAACAAGTTCCGCGGCCGCGGCCGGTGATGCTACCTGAGCAGTGACGAAGCTTGATAATCGATTATCGATATTTCCCCATTTGAAACTATGGTAAATACTCGATTACTAAAGTATTCGTTGAGAACACTTCGTCTATCGATTCTTTTCCATAGGTTCAAACGGCAGATCAATCGATATATCGCCAAACACGCTACGCCGCTGTATCTGAGGACCGGCTCACCGTGACGTAATTATTTTTATCACTCTTATCAGTCATTGATCGATGAGTATCAGGCCATATCCACAAAATGAAAATTCTCACATTATTTTTGGTAAGGCTTTAGGTATAACAGACCCCTCTCCACCCTCAAATATGTGAAGGGAGGATCTTAAGAAGTTCAAAACCTCAAGTGTTTGAAAGTTATTCGTTGAGCCTTGAAAGTCCTGGATTAGAAGACAAAAAAAACTTTCTTTCTTTCATATTGGAGGGGGGGGGGAGTTCAGGAGTTGCCGCTGCGCCCCATCCTCTTAAATTGTTTTAAGCTCTGTCAAGTTAGTGAGTTACCTTCCAAAGGGCACCTTACCGTCTTGAGCAAATTGGACCACCCTGCGCAAGGAAGACAGTTTGCAACAGTTTTCTGCAGGGAGGGGGATGGGGGTTAATAGCACTCTGGGTATGCATTATTGACGATTTTCTCCGTTAATCACTTGCAATGCTGAGAAGTTGGCTGCCTTGTTTGCATTTTCGTGACTTTCAAAATGGACTTAAAACTTTTTGAAATCAAATCTGTTTTGGAGTTAAATAGAGAATAACTTGAGAGAAAAAGCTACTTAGCGATTTCCATTCCATACCAAAAATGTTCTCTTGTAATACCTTTCCAACGGTGTATCACACGAGGGGAGAGAGTTACCAATTTAAAATGTTGACTTAGATGCAACCCCCCCCCCTCATGGAATTACATCCCCCCCATAATGTTGAATGTGTCAAAACGTACAGCTGTTATTGACCTGAAGGTACTTCCAAAATGTTATCTTCATACATGCACTCAGAAGGGGAGAATGCGATCGTTGTCGTATTTCTCAGCCTGTTTAAGCGTATGCATACGGTGTCAGTTCACTGAAACGCTGCAGAGTGGAGACGGGAGTTTTCCCGTAATTTAGGGAGTAGGAATTTTGATAAGTTACGGGTCTTCAAGGGGAATATGATGTTACAAAAATCTTGAAATGTGGGTCATACAACTGTTTAGATCACACTCCATGATAGATAAATGCCCACATTGGCATTCTAGCCGTTATGAGGTGAGAACATTTCGTTTTGGGGTGTGACACACCACTCCAATCAACATAAAATTCTTGACTAGAACTACTTGAATCATTGCTCAACAATTTGTTAATATATTTGCCTAACTCATATGACGACGGTCATTTTTAGTTTCGCATGGAAATGCGAAACCGGGGTGACCTATTTGTATCAAATTACATAGCATACTCTGTAATATTAAATCATTAGCGTAACGCATAAAGCATAACGCCTGAGGTGCGAAGCACTTACGTAGCGTAGTCTCGTGGTTTGTTTTTTTATTACTTATCCTTTTTAAGCGGGAAATTAAAAAAATGCGGATAGTATTTTCGCATGCAGATTGAAAGAAATGGAGTTGTTTGCATAACATGAAATTAGACTTTCTAGGCATCTGCCATTTGAAAAAAAACTCAAATCTTGACTTTTGGTGTATACTTCGACCGCGTTTAGCAGGAAGAAACCAAACCCTCATTGCTTTTTGCCAAATTAAACTGGGCAATCTGATTTTTTACAAGGAAACGTTTGTGCGAATTCCTTTGAAAATTTTAAGAAATTTTCTTCGCATTGTGCTGAAAATTCACTAACATTTGCTCAAAAATCCGTACAATCGTTTTCTTGTAAAAAATCAAAGTGCCAAATTGAATTTGGCAATAGCTGCACTGAGAAAAAAACCTCAGTCATATGAACCGAATGTACGGTGTTCAATATCGGCCGTATTGCTCGGTTCATGTAACCGCTCTCTCGGTTCGAGGAACCGTATCCTCGGTTCGAGGAACCGCATCCTCGGTTCGAGGAACCGTATCCTCGGTTCATGCAACCGAACACTCAAACCGAACAGAACTAACGAAAAACTCGGTTGCACGAGCCGAGAGAACGGTCGCATGAACTGAATAATACGACATCGCACATTCGGTTCACACGACCGAACTTTCTATCTCAGTGTGATGTGGCTTGGTTTCCTCAATTCTGCTTAAGGCGGTCCAATCGCCCACAATATTTTATTTCAAATGGTGAAGTTTACCAAGTATCCAAGTAGTCTCCTGTTGTTTACAACGTGTACCGATTGTGATAGAGCGGTGTTTTTGTTTGTTGCAGAGCTGCTGCGATCGTTATGCCAGGTGACGAATCCTCAGGCGAGCATCTGGTTGGTGGACGCGGAGGGTCGTAAGCTCTCCATCGACTCGGAGCTGCCGGCCAACTCGCCCGAGAACCCCTACCGCCCCCTGGCCCGACCACGCAACGGTAATAAAACAAACTTCGCTTCATCTCTTTAATGGTGCCCTCAAGATACACGACCATCTCACCTACCTGGTGGCACGTTCCTCTTTTCAAATTCGCCCGGTCCTTGCAGAAGATGAGATCGGATCGTAACATCACTACTCACTGAGTAACTATGGTGAATCTACCAAATCACCTATCGCGTCTCCGGCTCCTGTAAATTTCGAAAATTTTCCCTCGAGTTTTATGTTTCACACAAACTGATAGCGGTGGATGCACGGGTCGTAAGACATTATGTTGGAGTTTTTCAACCAACGTGCGTTAAAAATTCAGCATATTGCATATCTCCAAACAGCATATCTCTTTGAGAGAAAATTTTGCTCATATGAGCTTTTTGCCTCCGTATTGAGATTTTCAGCTGTATGCTGAATTTTTAACGCACGTTGGCTAAAAAACTCCAACATACTGTTTTATGTTTTGTATTGTTGTTCTCATATACAGGGTAAATATGGGTCCCAGACTGCAGGAGCCGAAACACCTTCAAACCCCCTTTTTAAATTGAGATTTCGATTTTTTCTTTTTGGATCATTCATGAATCCAGGGCGTAAAAGTACAGGGGAATACAAATTTTCATGAGAGTTGGTTTACAACCGTTGCCAAAATTCAGGAAAACGGATTTACTTCCTGATTTTTTTTTTGGGGGGGGGCGCAGCTCCGACTGGGAGCAACTTGAGTTGCGGTGCTACCGAAATTAATTGGAAATGTCCATATCGTCCAACAATTTGAGTAGTAGAACAATTTTGGGGGATAACCCCTGACACCTTTTTTTCCGTGAGGACCTCTCCAAAGTTCTCGCGTTCGGTATTAAAAAGTTGTTACGAATCCTGGAAGAAATCCGCGAAAAAAAAGAGTATTTGGATAGAGAAAGAGCTGATAGTAAAATAACGACACGGCTTAGTAATCTTTCACTTCTCCCTGATTGGTGGGTGGATTGTTTCGTTTCAATTTCGTCGAGTCGAGTTGCATTGTACATTTTTCGGCAGGAGGCACTTCGTTACGGCACTTTTCCTTTTTATCTTATTTAAAACCCCATACGGATCGCTGTGTAGTTAAGTTGAGTTTCACAGACAGCGCGGCGCGCGCGGTTCTGTTTGTACGATCTCGGAACCCGGGAAAGCTCCAATGTAGGTATCCACCTCGTTCCGTTTCGTCTCGTTTTGCTGGAACCGGCGATTTCCCAGTCTTCCCGCTTTTCATGCTCGCACCTTCGCAGAACTCCAGATGGAGGAAATTTTGATTGAAAGCGGGAATACTTCCGCGTATACATTCCGCACTATTATTTGTTTTGTACGTGTGCATGACTCACATTCCGCATTTTATTTCTGTTCAGGTATGTTGGTCGACGAAGTTGAAATGGAATTCATCAGTTTAGAACAAAGGTATGTCTCTCTTATCATTTCACCTATCTCTCTTCAGCCCGTTGTTTGTTTACCCTCTTTTTTTTCGAAAAACTATTCTTGCGAAGTTGTGAGAGTGTGCTGTGGGTTTACGTGGGCCGAAACCAGGGTTGAGAACCTTAGGAATTTTCATTTTACTTGTAAAAAATGTAAACAAAGGCATTAGATTTTACGTTGGACGTCGAGTCTCATGAGGTCAACTTAGTCTCCTCCGTTTGATCTTCATATGTAACTTAGATGCGTTTTATAAAAGTCTGCCCACATTTATGGCGCATTCAATTTGCGACTACCGACAATTTGTAATCCGCCAGCGATGGAAGTAAAATCATCAAATTTATGACTAAAGGGTTAATCATGTTACCCTAAATAGAAGTGTATCGACGGTGAGACTGCAAAAATGCGTATCTTGGTCGCGGTGTTTTAAATTCTCCGCTCCTATTTATTTTTTCAGAAGGAGACCAAACCGGCATCATGGCCTGAAATTTTCCCAAGAAATTTTTCAAATACATGAAAATAATCACCGAAGTTTTCAAGAAATGCCGTTTATTAGTTTTTCATGTTGAAAATTAAGCATGACGGGAAGTTAGAAATGACGTTTATTAGTTTTTTATGTTGAAAACTGAGCATGACGAGAAGTTTGCAATGACGCAAAGCGAGATACGCATTTCTGTAGTTTCACCATCGACGTGTTTTTTTTTTAAAATTCGTGATATCACCTGACAGTCCTGACATACCCGGGTGTGTGCATAAGTAGTGAAATCAATGACCTAGTTGGATTTTAGTTGGACACGCAACTAAACTAACCTTACGGCAAGGCATAGAGTACCTAAATTTCTTTAAAGTCCTTTTGAAGTCGTCCAACTCGAAAGTCGCTTGAAAATGTAAAATGACAGTTACCTATTGTCTTGCTATTTGCCTGCGACAGTTATTTGAAACACAATGTCTAAAGTGAGGAATTCGTTAGAATGTCCACCTCCTGACCCTGCCTCGAGACGGTTTTACCACGAGTAAGTTTTTCAGTGGCCTCTCCTCTTTCGCGGCGCAAAACGCATATTAGCGCCTACAAGAGTGAAGGAATACTTTACGCATTGCGCGTAACACAGCGTAGTCGGTGGTCGGCACGAAAAGCATTTTAGCACCTACAAGAGTGTAGGAATACTTCACGCATTGCGCCGAATCGTGCGGCCACGGGTCGGCGCGAAAAGGCATATAAGTGCCTACAAGAGCGCAAGAATACTTCACGCATTGCGCTTAAAACAGTACAGTCGGTGCGGTCGACGTGGAACGCATATCGACTGCGTGAGTCCGCAATCACATATCTTGTTTGCGGTGTCTGAAAATCTCCAACTCTATGTTATTTTTTTAAAGGAGAACAAATTGAATCATTCTTTGAAGTTTTTGCAGAATTTTCTTCGCATAGAGAAGCAAAATCACAGTAGTCTTAAAGAATTGCTGTTGGACAGTTTCCCGTTTAAAAAATAAAGTATGATAGGAAGTCTGCGACATCGCAAACCGAGTTATGTGATTGCCGACTTACATCGTCGATATGGGCAATCCTACGAAAACTGCCCCATATGACCTCCAAAAAACTAAAAATTCAACTTGATTATTTTGGATCGCGGATTTGTTTTCCCAGTCAAGTATAGTATTGGGCTTAAAAATGTATTACGGGTGCGTGATAGTATCTGACACACCCGCGTGCGTATGTAGTGAAATCAGTGACCTTGTTGGATTTTGGTTGGATAGGCAACTAAACTACCCGCACGGCAAGGCATAGAGTATCATTGAGAAATTTCAGCACTCGAAGTCGAGTTAATGCTTTTGAAGTCGTCCAACTCGAAAGCCGCTTGAAAATGCAAATGACCCGCTCTTGCTATTTGCCTGCGACAGTTATTCGGAACACAATGTCTAAAGCGAGGAATTTAATGTCGGAAACTCCAAGGTCGAGAATGACCACCCCTTGCGGCTCGATTGTTAAATCGTTCTCGAATGATCTTGATCGATAAATTCCTATGCTAGCAATGTTTTTTATCGATCAAGGTCATTCGATATGAATTCAAGAATCGAGCCGCTGGCCCTGCCTTGAGACGGTGCTACCGTGAGTAAGTTTTTCAGTGGCGTTTCCTGTTTCCCCGACGGAGGATTCCCTGCGGTTTCCCAAATTGCCAGCTCCGCTGCGGTAATGGAAGTGCAGCCGTCCGCTAGGTAAGGAGTTGGGGCGGAGAACTTTTAATTGAATTGATGGATGACCTGTCCGTCCGCGTCGTGGCTCGTGCCCGCCCGCCACGTTGCCGCCACCATAATAGGACGTATTTCTATCAAACGGAACTATGTGCATTGAGACATGAGCCCTGCGTCCCATACGAATAAATGTATAACAGGGCTCACGTCATGATGCACATAGTTCCGTTTGGCAGAAATGCGTCCAATATATTCTCGCCAACAGGGTCATCATTTACTCTCCTCGCCCATCGACCCTCATAGATGCGAGCTACATATTCTATGAGGGTGCACTTCATAGTGATTCAGGACTATCTCAATAGATCCAGCTATATATCTATCTATGGACTAAAAACACAAGAAGACGGGTAACAAAGGCTTTAAAAACAACAAAATACAAAGCCAGGGACGTTTTCGGATGGTTTCAACCCCCTCCTGAACCAGGATTCGAAATATACAAAAATTATACTGACGTGCCGTGATTTGGAGACTGAATTCCACTAGGAAGAAGCTGGTAGTGCCTATTTGCAGAGAAGTTTTCATGTGATAGATGTGATAGATCATGATAGATGCGAGCTACATATCCTATGAGGGTGCACTTCTTAGTGATTCAGAACTATCTCAATAGATCCAGCTATATATCTATCTATAGACCAAAACACAAGACATTTTTGGCCTTACATACTCTGATTCTGGCTCTGCCCTCGTGTCACTAACTGGCAATAATGCCCCTTATAAAGGTACCGTCTAATTCGGGAGCTACAACTGACAAGCCTCTAGAATTTCTGAAGAATTGAGAAAAGTGGGAGCGCCTTCAATTTTTGAATGCGCTACAAGCACATCTGTGGAACACGAATAGTTGCGTCAAGGCGCCGTAATCAACTCGGTCCAACTTTTGTGATGGACCTTCGTCGATCAGCGCATAGATTGCACTTTAAATTAACGACTGGCCCTCTTGGTGTGATTTTCAGCCTCTGACAGGACAGCTTGAGACCTGCCCATTTCACGGACTGGGCAAGAGCATCGGCTAGTTTGCCCTTTGGGCAAAAATATCTCCCAATCCGCAGACTGGGCAATCTTGTTCACTCGCGTAACGCTCGCGCTGATCAAACTCGACAATGGGGGATTTGTATATGTGTCTGAAATTTGATGAATTTCGTATTTAAGTTGAAACTACTGAGTAACTTAAACACGAGAATACTCTTGGTTTCTAAATGGAACATTTATTAAAGGAGATATGAAAAAATGATCTAATCTTCCCAAATACACGTTTTTAAATAGGAAATGCCACCAAACGACGTTCATAGGCAGTGAATTTTCTCACTTTTAAAAATATATTTAAATTATGTCCCCCTATCAGAGAAAAATTATAGAAAATTCTGCGAATACAGCTCTTTGAGCAATCACAGATGAAGGGATTAAACATTTGCGTGCATGTTCTCCATTAAAATACATTTTTCTCAGCAGAATTTCTGGTGATCGCCGTGTTTTACAAACATTTTCAGGAACCCTCGTCAGACATCCAAATTTAATAACCAAAAAATCGTACCCCCAACGTTCCATGGATTTCCCACGAAAAGTTTGTCGAAATAATTAATCAGGAAGCCGGCTTCAGGAACCACAACATGTGGGCATGTGTTGCCATATTTCCTCCGATGAAATGTTTACCCTTCAGGAAAGTCATTATTAGTGGAGCACCTTTTATGAGCCTTTGCTCTCCATGTGCAATTTGGCATTTGCAGAGAACACAGGGATTGCGTCTCCTCGCCGCGCCGCGCCGCGCCACGTCGCACGCTGGACCGAATCAACGGGAGAAGTTGGACAAAAACTTTGAAAGCTTATATTTTCGAAAATATAAAACAAAACAGTTTAAGAGAGGTGCCAATTGTTTTCACCTGAAATTTCTTTCAGGAACATCCTTTGAAATTGAATTTGTGAAGAAATAAAAATCGAAATTCGAAATTTTAGCCAAAAATTTGTTGGTTGTCCTCTTCTAGTAGCTCACACCAGTGTGCGCCGGGACGCGATACATNGGGGGGGGGGGGGGGGGGGGGGGTGCGCCATCCCTTTTCATCCCTGCTCGTCGGCGGCCAATGATTGATCAAATGTAACGAGCCCAAAACGAACAGCTCCGACCTGTTTTTGTAACATTTAAAACAAACAGCATCTATTCCATCAGTTTTTACTCTTTTACAGCGGCGATGATTAAGATAAATTAGCTAATTTGTCCGCGGCGGCTTGCCCTCGTCTCTTCTTGCTCACGCGGGGTCCGGCTCGGACTGGGCCCTCAAAAAAGACTCCCTCGAGGCTGCCAGTTGGTGCTGAAAATTCGGATTTTTTCCCACAAAACTCAATATTAATCATGCAAATTTTGGCAATTCTGAAACACCATCACTTTTTACCGGTGTTCCCGATGATTAAAGGTTCTCGATTCTTTCTCTGCTGTGTTGCGCTGCGCCCGTGCCCTTGTTCCCTTCCGCTCTGTCCCGTTTTTCCTATCTGCTGTCTCCCTTGTTCGCTCACGCTCGCGCCCCAAAAAACTCCAGTATCTCAGTTAATCGTACCGTTCATAAACTAAAGTCGTGTTCGTGATGTATATTCCGTAAGAAGTACAGCATTGCGTTCTCCCTCATAGCGAAACCTGGACTGAGGGCCATGTAAATAGTACCGATCTCGAAGCGTAGTTTCCGTGCTTGGAAGAACCAAAGTGGGAGAGGTTAAATTTTGTCCGCACTGGGACCAGGGTGAAAAAATTTCATGAA